AAGTAAAATTGAAGGAGGTTTGGGAGTCAAGAACATTGGTACTTTCAACAAAACACTTTTATCTAAATGGTTATGGAAATGTCTTGATAGAAATTCGTTTGTTAGCTCTTTTCTTAATCATTTATACTTGAACAGAGGAAAAGTTCTTCAGTCCTTCCGTCCGAACCCCCTAAACTCATCTTTCTGGAATGATGTCATGGCTGTTAAGGAGGATTTCTTTCATCATGTTATATGGTTACTTGGATCTGGTGAACAAATTCGTTTTTGGGAGGATAAATGGACAGGCAATAATTCTCTTGCTAGTCTTTTTCCATCCTTATATAATCTCTCCTACTCTAACAATTCAATTGTTAGAAGTCAAGGATGTCATCAGAACAATAGCTGGCAATGGAGACCTTTGTTGAGAAGATGTATATCGCATACTTCTCAAACTGACAGAGTCGAGCTTGCACATATGTTAAGGAATTACAAGATTTGTAATCAGCCTGATCAACCTAAGTGGTCTCTTACAACAAATGGAACCTTTTTAGTTAATTCTCTATACAGATTTCTTATTTTGAGAGGTATCAAATCATCTTTTTACAATCTGTCTTGGAACCAAATCCTGCCTAGCAAGGTACAATTTTTTACATGGCTTTTATGTCTCAATAGATTGAACACCAAAGAAAATCTTCGGAAAAAAGGCTGGCAAGGCAATTCTATTTGCTCTTTTTGTTCTCTTCAACTGGAAACTAGAGACCATCTTTTATTCTCTTGTCCGTTATCTAAAAAGGTCTGGGATCATTTCAAAAATTTCTTATTTTCATCTCAAGGGCCATCTTCTTTTGGAGACTTTATTCAAATCTTGGTGAAATTACAACATACTAAAGGAATTTTATGGCGTTCTATCTTCTCTTCAATATGTTGGAATATTTGGATTGCAAGGAATAAATATCTTTTTGAGCAAGCAAAGTTCAATCATATATCTATCGTTAACAATGCAATCTCTTGTTTATATGATTGGTCAGGTTCTAAATCTGGTACAAAAGCTCAACAAGTCTTGGATATGCTAGAAAGCAACCCTCTTCCTCGAAGCAGTTCTTAATTATGTTGTTCAGTCTGCTTAGATAGCTATTAGGGAGAGTTCTTCTTGTATATTATGTTTGGTTAGATTTTAATACTTTTGTAGCTTGTTAGACATCAGTACTTTAGTTCATATAATTATATGTATGGCTAGCTTTGGTTCTTTCTTGTATCTATGTCAACGGTGAATGACGGCAAGGCCCTTTCTTCACCTTCATGGATCCCTGAAAGAAGAAGGTCATACATCCCTAGTCATATGGAACTAAGACTACTGTTATCTAACATCAGGATACATTTCGTATCCATACTTTTGTACAAAATACTTTATCTTTAATTGAACAGGGTATATCCCTTGTTTTTCCATCAAAAAAAATACAACTTATGATCGTAACTCAAAATTATATTCTCCTCTTGAGGTAACTGTCCGTAACTTCGGCTCAGATTCACATTATCCTTCTTAATTATTAAAATTTAAGAAAATCACCTATATCTACTATTCAATCAACGTAGAACCATTCATGCTCTTTTCTATCCAATTTTCAATCCAGAAAGTTATAGTTTGACAATTTATACTTACATAATTTTTTGAACATTGGGATTGAAGATAAATAATGCAAATTATTTCTCATTTTAACTTTGATTCCTCAAGTTGTGTTTTCACCCAAAAATACCCCAAAAGTCACTTCAATTTTCACTTTCAAACCCCAAAGTTCTTTTCTGCCCAAAATTACCCCAAAGTTCAATAAAATTAATTTTGAGACATCAATGTTCATTTATTTGATATCCTAAATTTTACAAAATTTAGTTTGGATACACAAAGTTTAATAAAATTTTAACTTTGGCACGCACGGTCCAAGAAAGTTAAATCTATGTAGGGCAGTAGAGGTAAAACCATCAAATTATAAATTTTTGGATGGAGAACACAATGAACGGTTATATGTTGATAGAACGATAGACAATGAATGCTTTTCTAAAATTTGAGTAATTAAGGGTGATGACGTGAAATATGATTAATGTAGAATTGGGAACTACGGCGAAGAAGTTTAGGCAAAAAGACGATGGGCAGTTTTTGGATGTTACACGATCAACCACGAGTGGCGCGCCGGTCGACCGTGAACGTGCTGTTAGTCTAAGTGTAGACCCAAAGCTGAAGTCAAAGCTGGAATCAAGAAGATGAAGCAAAATAAAGGAAACAGGAAAACTATAGTGCGTCGACGCGCAGGTGCTGCTCGACGGTCACCGCGATGGTCTGCGGGTCGACCGGAGATACATGTAGGCGTTTGTTTCTGTCGTTAATCGCAGTCGACCGCGACTGGTTCAGGCGTCGAACCGTGACTGGTTGCGGCGGTCGACCGCGATCGGAGTTGGCAGTTAATAATATTTTTTGAATCTGTTTAGGCTGGGATGCAGTATAATATATATATATAAATATAATATATATATATATATATATATATATAGTATATAATATATGATATATATTAACACACACACACATATATACATACATATGTGTGTGTGTGTGTGTGTGTGTTTTCTAGGGCTAATTAGAACGTGAAAAACCATCAGAAAGAGAGAAAAGAGAGAGAGAATCTCAGAGAGATTAATCTCTTGTTTGAGTGCTTGTATTCCTTCTTCAATTAATCAAAGAGATTGTGTGGTGTGGCTCCCGAGGAAGTAGACACGTTGCCGAACCTCATTAAATTCGTGTGTTCTCTCTTGTTCTTATTTCTGCAAGTTTTTATCTTTGATTTGCGGTGAATTTCCTTCTTGCTTAACTTTCTAACAAGGTCCAGAAGAGCAAAGGTTCGATTTGATTGTTTCGAATCCCCAACAACTGGTATCAGAGCTTCGTTCAGAAATTTGTGAGAAAGCCATGGTAGAGGAAATCAAATCTAAGATCGAGAAGTTTAACGGTTCAGACTTCGCCTACTGGAAGTCACAGATGGAGGACTATTTATACCAGAAGGACTTGTATCGCCCGTTAATAGGCAAGGATAAGGGACAGAAGAAAGAAGAGTCAGACAACGATTGGGAGATACTGGATAGGAAGGCTCTAGGGCAAATCCGGTTGTCGCTCGCCAAGACAGTAGCCCATAATATCTTGAAGGAGAAGACGACGGTAGGGCTTATAGAAACGCTCGTGAAGATGTACGAGCAACCGTCTGCAGCAAACAATGTGCATCTGATAAAAACTCTTTCCAACCTCAAGATGGCACAAGGACGATCCTTCACGATGCACCTCAGCGAGTTCAACACGATTGTTGATCAGCTTATCTCCTTAGACATCACGTACGATAATGAAGTGCATGCCCTTTTATTACTATCGCAGTTGCTAGATAGTTAGGTAGGTTGTGTGACGACAATCAGCAATTCTGCAGGGAATGAAAAGTTGAAGCTGAGTGAGGTGGTCAGTATGATTCTATCCGAGGAGGTTAGAAAAAAAGCGTCTAAATCAGAAGGTTCAGGTTCAGCCCTAAACTTCGAGCAGAGAGGCAAAAGGCAGAAGAAAGGGAACCAGAACATAAATCAGTCGAAGTCAGTGAAGAAGAGGGGCCTATCAAAGGAAAGTGTTGGCACGGCGGCCAGGAGGGCCATATGTCTTCAGTCTGCAATAGTCCAAAGAAGGATGTGGGTGAGCAGGAGGCTCATATCGTGCAGGATGTTTTGATCCTTGCTATGGATAGCGATTCGAATTCTTGGATCATCAACTCAGGAGCCTCTTTCCACACTACTGCTAATAAGAAGCTTCTTCAGAATTATGTAGCATGGGACTTTAGAAAAGTGTATTTGGGTGACAATGAGCTCTGTAATATTGTTGGAAAGGGCGATGTGCAGATTTAGATGAAGGGTTCTAAGTAGAACATGAAGAACGTGAGACACATATCGAAGCTGAAGAGGAATCTTATTTCAGTGGGATAGCTTGGAGCAGAAGGCTATGTTTCGATATTCACATGGGATTCATGGAGAATCTCTAACCGTACAATGGTAGTTGCCCGAGGTAACAAATTAGAGACTCTCTACCCCACCTCATATGCGAGTGACACCCTCGCAATTGTAGCTAGCAAAGAGAGTACAGGTCTCTGGCATAACAAGCTAGGGCACATGAGCAAGAAGGGGATGAAGATCTTACATTCATAGGGAAAGCTAACCGGGATCGACTCCGTGGAAGTCGGGATTTGTGAAGACTATATCTTTGGGAAGCAGCAGAGGGTTAGTTTCCATAAGGGTGGAAGGTCACCTAAGGCTCAGAAGCTAGAGTTGATTCATACAGATATATGGGGCCAGCTAGTGTGTTTTCTTTTGACGGTTTAAAATACTATGTCACCTTTATCGACGATCACTCGAGGAAGGTGTGGGTTTACTTCATGAAGCACAAGTCAGAGGTGTTCGGAGTCTTTAAGAAGTGGAAGGTCATAGTGGAGAACGAGACAGATCTGAAGGTGAAGTGTCTAGGATCAGACAATGGTAGAGAATACGAGCTGGAGGAATTCAAGAGGTTCTGTGCTACGAATGGTATTCGCTTAGAGAGGACTACTCCAGGGACGCCGCAGCAGAATGGTATTGCGGAGAGGATGAACAAGATCTTGACGGAGCGTGCCAGGAGCATGTGATTATATGTAGGTCTGCCTAAGACATTTTGGGCGGATGCGGTGCATACGACGACTTACCTTATTAATCATGAGCCATCAGTTCTGTTGGATTTTGGGATTCCAGAGGAGGCTTGGAGTGGAAAGAAGATAAATCTCTCACACTTACGGGTATTTGGTTGCATAGCTTATATTCATATCAGTGACCATGTTAGGGACAAGCTAGAGGCTAAGTCACAGAAGTGCACATTCATTGGATACGGCATTAATAAGTTCATGTATCATCTTTAGGATGAGAAGAATAGGAAGATCATCAGGAGCCGAGACGTCATATTCAATGAGGAGGTGATGTACAAGGACAGAGAAAATACCAAGGATAGCCAAAGCAGTGGGAGCAGCATTTCGAATGCAGGTGGATCCGAGTACATGGATTTAGAGGAACTTTCAGATAGGAGTGATGATGTTTGTTCTGACCGAAGAACGGAGGAGGCTCCAGGTGCAGAAAAAACTACCCAGGGCGTGGAACTTAGAAGTTCATCCAGGGTACCCAAATCAAATTCTAGATATCTTTTATCTATTGATCACTTATTGTTAACAGATAGCGGTGAACCGGAGTGCTATGAGGAGGTTATGCAAGTGAGTGAATCTCAGCAGTGAGAGCATGCAATGTAGGAGGAGATGGATTTCCTACTCACTAATAAGACATGGGAATTAGCCCAGTTACCTGCACGGAAAAAGGCCTTGCATAACAAATGGGTCTACCGGGTCAAGCAAGAGAGTGATGGAAGCAAGAGGTTTAAGGCCAGATTAGTTGTAAAAGGATTCCAGCAGCGGGAAGGAGTGGACTACACGGAGATATTTTTCCCTATTGTAAAGCTCACAACCATCAGGGTGGTGTTGAGCTTGGTGGCTGCAGAAGATCTCTTCCTTGAGCAGTTAGATGTGAGGACTGTATTTTTTCATGGTAACTTGGATGAAGAAATCTACATGAAGCAACATGTTGGTTTTATTGAAGAAGGAAATGAAGAGATGGTGTGCAAGCTCAACAAGAGCTTATATGGTTTGAAACAGGCTCCGAGATAGTGGTACAAGAAGTTTGATAACTTCATGCAAAATAATGGCTATAGAAGATGCAATTCGGATCATTACTGCTATTTCAAGAGGTTCGAGTCCAGATTTATTATATTGTTATTATATGTTGATGACATGTTAGTAACAGGACCGTGTTTAGAGGAGATAAACAGTTTGAAGAAGCAACTGGCAAAGGAGTTTGCAATGAATGATCTGGATGTAGCAAAGCAGATTCTAGGGATACGAATCAGTAGGGATGAAGCTAAAGGGACACTGAGGTTTAGCCAACTTGAATATATCGATAAGGTACTTCAGAGATTTAATATGCAGAATGCTAAGGTTGTTAGCACACCCCTTGGAAGCCAGTTCAAGTTATCTGAGGAGAAATCACCTAAGACAGATGCAGAAAAAGAGCATATGATCAGGGTTTCATATTCTTTGGTCATTGGAAGTCTCATGTACATGATGGTTTGCACGAGGCTGGACATTGCTCATGCAGTGGGAGTTGTGAGCAGGTTTGCTAGTAATCCAGGGAAGCAGCATTGGGAGGCTGTAAAGTGGATATTACGGTACTTGAGAGGGATAACGAACAAGCCACTATGTTTCAGGAGGAAGGAGCTGGTGCTGCAGGGATACATGGATGCGGACTTCACCGGTGATCATAATACAAGGTGAAGCACCACGGGGTATGTTTATACCTTAGTGTCGACATCAGTGAGTTGAATCTCACGTCTACGAAAGATTATGACTTTATCCACAACCGAGGCTGAGTATGCCGTGGTGACTGAAGCAAGCAAGGAGATATCTGGTTGAACGGGTGCTTGGAAGAGTTGGATCTGAAGCAAGGGAGAGGAGTTCTTTATTGTGATAGCCAGAGCGCTATACATCTTGCCAAGAATCCAGTTTATCATGCTAAAACAAAGCACATTGATGTATGTTATCATTTTATACACTCGCTGATTGAAGACGAAAAGTTACACTTAATGAAGATTTTAGGGAGTCAAAATCTGACGGACATGTTGATGAAGGCAGTTACCATTGAGAAATTGGAGTTGTGCACAACTTCAGTTGACCTTCATGGGTAGAAGATGAAGGTAGAGCTATACTAGGAGGATCGGCAAGATCGTTGGGATGTTGATGATTGAAGAAAGGATTTTCCGGGGAGGAGAAGATACTTGCGAAGAAGGAAAGAGTTCGGGTGAACTCGCTGATGACGCTTTGGTCTCTAATTGGGAGATTGTTAGTCTAAGTGTAGACCCAAAGCTAAAGCCGAAGCTGGAATAAAGAAGTTGAAGCAAAACAAAGAAAACAGGAAAACTACAGTGTGGTCGACCGCGGTGCTCTCGGCGGTCAACCGCGAACGTGCACGCGACTGAGAAAGTCTCTAGACTTTTTACGGTCGACCGTGATGGGTTCTGCGATCGACCGAAGATATCCTGTAGGCGTTTTGGGTTTCTGTCGTTTATCCAGTCGACTACGACTGGGTCGGCGGTCAACCGTGAGTCGAGCTGATAGTTTCCTAATCTGTTTTGAATTTCTAGGCTAATTAGAATGTGAAAAAACCATCAAAAAGAGATAAAAGAGAGAGAGAGAATCCCAGAGAGATTAATCCTTTGTTTGAGTGCTTGCATTCTTTCTTCAATTAATCAAAGAGATTGTGTGGTGTGGCTCCCGAGGATGTAGGCACGTTGCCGAACCTCATTAAATTCGTGTGTTCTCTCTTGTTCTTATTTCTACAAGTTTTTAACTTTGATTTTTTGTGAATTTCTTTCTTGCTCAACTTTCTAACAAGGTCTGGAAGGGCAAGGGTTCGATTTGATTGTTTCGAATCCCCAACACGTGCACAGCACAGGAGTTGGTCTCTAGACTTTTGGCAGTCGACCGTATCGGGTG